TGTAGCTCCAGGGAAGAAATAACCCAACTAGCCTTTGGCAAATTTCTATGGAATTGTATTCTTTATAATCATATACTAGCGGAGGTGCTTCTGCATCCGTTGCACACTTGCACGGGCAAAACATGATGGTAAGTGGTTTGGAAAATTTAAAATAAATAAACATTTATCGATAATAGTACATTTAATTTAATAAAATAATAAATAAATAAAATCGTGAAAGAGGGAGAGATGATTTTTTTTTTGTATTTTTGTTTTATACAGTAAAATAATTGTAAATAGTTAAATAATAATTAATTTAATTTAATAAATAAATAAATTTATAAAATAAATGAGATAAATAGACAATCAAGTGAGAGAGTATATATATATATATACATGATTCTATGTCTTACTTTGCTAGCAATAATAATTTGTTAGATTATTAAATTATTAAATAATTTAGTAAAATAAGTAAATAAATAAATAAAGCTTTATGTATTATCAACACAAGATTGGTAAAGGCTATTGCAAATTAATTAATTAATTAATTTAGTGTTGTTAATGGGTCGTGCTGAACTACTAGGCTATCGGGCCCATGAACATGCTTAACCTGGTTTGTGGCCCGACCTAGCCTAAGACTTGGCCCACGGACCAGCCCGGCCCGTGGCACAGCACAGGCCCATGCGGGCTTGGGCTAAAATAAAAATTTAAGATCTCCTTTAAATTGTTGTCTATATTTTAAATTTATGTTAAAGTTTTCATTATTTTTTCCAAAAATAAAAAAAAACATGGCTTAACTCAATTCATGGCCCAACCTGGCCTAAGTGTTAGCCCATAGACAAGCCTAGCCCGTGACAGGACACGAGCCCATGTGGGCTTGGGCTGTATATTATATACAGTAATTATATAATATAATAATATATATAATTTTATTTTCAAATTTATTATATTATTACATATATAAACAATTGTGCACATCAAAATTCATATAAAATAAAATTTTAAGATCTTTTTTATTTTTTTTATATTTTTAATTTATAAAAACATGGCTTAGCCCGGTTTGTGGCCTGATAATAATTATATAATATATTAATATATGTATGTATATAATTTTATGTTCAATTGTATACATCAAAATTCATATAAAATAAAATATTGAAATACTTTTTTTTATTGTTTGTCTATTTATTTTAATTTATGTTAAAAATTTTATTGTTTTTTCCAAAGTTTTTAAAAAACATGGCTTAGCCCGATTTGTGGCCCAACCTGGCCTAAGACTTGGCCTGCGGCACGGCATGGGCCGCGTAGGCTCGGGCTGTATATTATTTACAATAGTTATATAATATATAATATTATTTCATTTTATTATTGCATATATAAACAATTGTATACATCAAAATTCATATAAGATAAAATTTTAAGATCTTTTTTAATTAATTAATTATTATTTTTAATTTGTGTTAACTTTTTCATTTTTTTTCAAATTTTTTAAAAAACATGGATTAGCCCGGTTCGTGGCTCGACCTGGCCTAAAACTTGGCTCGTGGCACGACGCATGCCTGTGCGGGCTCGGGTCGAGGGCTGTTGCAGGCTGACCCCCTAAAGTATCCTAGGGGAGGGAAGCACTGCCCACACGGCACAACCTAATACAACTCGATTGTAAATAAAATGAGAGATAAAGACCATTTTTAACAAATATGAAAAAAGCTAGAAGCTTAGTAGCATCATCGTAAATATTTAGCAGTGGCACCATTGTAAATAATTACATCTTTAGTATCAAATATGAAAGAGGAAAAGGAGAAAGGAAAAAGTCATTATTGTTTTTTGGGATAAGTATACTACACTCCACCTCAGAAATATGAAATTACAACTCCTTCATAGTCTACTAGTAGCCCCCCTAAAAACCACATCCTACTCGTGGATTTGGCATCGATCCATGGTTAGGATTCATCCCACCTGTACGATGGGGCTCAGATTTCTGGGGTGGACTGAAAACCCCTTGTTTTTTTTTTGTTTTATTCAATTGCATTTTTATAATTAACTAAATTTGTAATATATATATACATATATATCTCTGTGTGCGTAGGGGTGAGAAAAAAACCGAAAAAATGAATCGGCCGAAACCGAATCGATCGGTATACATATATTTCTATATATTTTTAGCTATATTTATGTATATTATATTATATATATTTTATATATTATAAATTAATAAATATGCATTATATATATATATTGATAATATATTATATATTATTTAAAATATAATATTATATATTTATAATTTTTATTACATATTTATATATATTTTTATAATATATATTGTAAAAACTAAAAAACTGAAAAATCGACGAACTGAACCAGTCAACCGGTTAATCGATTGGCTTCGGTTCGGTTCTGGTTACTAGTTTTTGGGAAACCAATAGTACCGGTTCGGTTCCAAAAAATTCCCCACGGTTTGGCACCCCTATGTGTGTGTGCGTGTGAAGATTATAGAGCAAAAGTGCTTTCTAAACATGTTTTTGAACCACATAAATGCTGTTATTTGGTATTTTTATTGTGGTCAATAATTGAACAATATGATAATTGTACTTCCATCATACGGTATTTTTTATTTCAAAAGCTTCTCCATCATGTTATCGGATTTGGTGACCGAATCTGTTCCTCACACATGGCGCCTCACACTGACCTCACAGGCACATCCTACCGTGCATTGGAATTTGGAAACATCTCCCATATTTACGGTGGGATGTGCCTGTGACTGTGAGGTCGTTGTGAGGCGCCCTATGTAAGGAGCAGATCACACCACTTGGATTTGATACCACAAGACATTGCAGTTACACTTTGAAAATATTTCACGTACTTGTATGCTGTCACTCGTAGGGAGATGTTTTCATGAACAATTGCAATGACTTGTAGGTAGGTGTAGATAGCATTCTTGTGAGTAGCAGATCTGATTTGCTCATTCTGTAGGGAAGCCAGATGAAAGCCTTTGAAAGTTTTAGGGACTACAAAAAATTACTATGAATCATTGAAATGTAATTGCTTTTGCTTGTCTTTTATTTATTTGTTTTTGTAATGTCTTATTGGAATTTCTAGCAAGGGACATCCCCAAACAGCCTAGTACTGCAAGCGATATCTGGTCAGTTGTACGAATTTGAGGCCCCATTTGGTTCACGGGAATAGGGGTCCGGAATTGGAATCAAAATGGGCTATTCTGATTCTAACTGTTTGGTTGGAAGAATCGGAATCCCATTCCCATTCCTGTTGGAATGGCATTCGCCCATTTGAGGGAATGACCATTCCCTGCCCCTCTCTTGGGAATAAAAATATAAAATCCCATTCTTGCTGATTTTAATTCCCATTCCTATTCCTGTCTGAGTCAAACAGACTATGGGAATGGACCATTCCAATTCCGTTTCCAGAGAATTTCAATTCCAATTCTGATTCTGGTTTCGACTACAAACCAAACGGACCCTGAATTTGATCTTATTAAGGGTGATTTGAATTTAATATGTTTATAATCGGATCAAATATGAATCTACCCTTACCAGGTCTCATATAATCTCATTTGATTTGATTAAGATATATATGCTCATATATACTTGAAATTTAAATTATATGTATCACTAAAATTAGTTTGAATGTTGTATTTTATTAAATTATCATAGGTTCAAGTTTCATACAAATAATTTTTAGTTCGTTTTGTTCATAAAATATAATATTAAAGTTATTTTTATTAATACTATATAATACTTTTATCATTTTTAGTCTATATTTATTTAAACCATTTAATATCCGAGTATAATCGAAATTTGATTTGAATCTGCTGGATATCATTCTATTCGAATTCAAATATATAAACGGATCAAATTTGAATATACATATATCGGATTCTATTGGATCCAACTGCGGTCTTAACTCCTAACTCCTAAAAGCAGCCATTCCTCATTCCTCATTCTCATTTAGAAGATGTGGTTGAAAATCGAAAGAGGCCCAGAAAGAAATGTCCATGTGGTTGAAAATTGAGAGAGGCCCAGAAATCAAAGAAAGATATGTCACACTATGAGATCCAAATCCAATGAGTAGATATGGTCGGACGCACCCTACCTTTATCTCTTTCCATCAATATTCTTCTCCCATCTTTTGGATGTCTCACCTAAATTATCTATCACTATCTTTAGGGGCTAGGGCTAGGGCTAGGGCTAGGGGGACGGTAGATGGGCGGTGGGCTCCCTCTGTCTTTGTCTGTAATGTTTCGACCAGAAGAGGCTGTGGGCTGTGGCATTGGCAATTTGGCATTTAGCACACAAGCTGGGCTCTGGTTGGCTACGTTTCCTCAAAATAATGGAAGTGGGCTCTTATTGGTTTGCATATGCCGACCAATATGGGCTAAATGTACATTTCATTGTCATTGGCCTTGCTGTCTTTGATAGCAGTCATCATAGCACGGCTTCTTCTTGCCATTGGCCTTGCTGAATGTACATTTCATTGTCTCAAGAAAATACAAAAAAAAAAAGAGCATACACACATACATTTAGATATATACTTGTTAGTTGTCGATAAGCCACATCTTCTCTCTATATATACAAGGGTAAGACTGTGTACATCTGTCCCTCCCCAGACCCCGCATTATTGGTGGAAGCCTAAGCCTTGTACACTGGATACCCAACAAGCCACAGTGGTGACTGAAGAAAACTAAATGATATCCATCATTTCTTTTTTCCCTCTTAAGTTTGGCTATACAGATTAATTTGGTAGTCCAGTTAACAAAACTACTAATTGCTATGTTTCCTAATAATAGTAGTTGAGTTGACCCACACCCACACATCTTAATGGGCTGAAAAGTCACGAGCAGATCTATCTTTTTAGAATCTGTGGGCCGATGATCGAGGCCCAAAACATTAATAATGGATTTTGGGCTCTGGCCTCTGAGTCTCTGAGTCTCTGGGATTGAAGAAGAATGCAGATTGCTTCGAGAAGTTCTGAAAAAAATCCCTTTCGGCTTTTGGTGATTCAGATTGCTTCGAGTGTGGATAAAACGTGCCTTCAACCCGCATCCGCCAATCATGAAGCAAAGAAATCAAAGAGTCGTTGGGCGTGGGCCAACCTTTTCCTTTTTCCATCTCTCTGGTGTCAGGTCAACAATTCATTCGTTGTCAGACACAACTCTGAGCTCTCCATCCCTTGGTTGACATATTGACAAATATGCCCAACTAATCCATTTCTCAATGATTTGTTGAAAGGCGACGAACGCACAGAACAGCGATCGTCTCCCTCTCTCTTCACCCACCTGCAACTGTTGCAAGACCTTCTAGGGTTAGGGCTTTGAGGATCTAGTGGTACTGCGACAATGTCGGCTGCGAGTGGGTTCGCCACTTCTTTTGCAGGTGTGACGTTGGAGTCTCTCCTCTCCTACTCCTCACAGTCGAGGGTCTCCTCTTCCTCGTCGTCGTCGTCTTCTCAGCTTCGGTTATTTTGCAAGCCCGTAGGCAATAGGAGATGGATCTGTAGCAGAGGAGTCACTTTGAACCCTATGTGTGAGGTTCCGTCCAACGGTTTGTTTCAGGACGAGAAGATCGATTCAAGGTCTACCAGCGTTTCTATTCTCGAACAGCTCAAGACATCCGCAGCCGACAGTAATTCGACCCCCTCAACTTTTCCCCCTCTTTTTCATGGATTTTATTTTGCTTGATGATTTGGATGACACTTCTCCTTTTGAGCTTCAATTCGTTGTTGTTGTTTTGTTTCGATTGTGAATTGGATATCATGAGGTAATACCCTCTTAAAATGTGTATATTTTGTTGAATTTCAATTATGTGTTTTGCAAATTTGGTGGTGCTTCAGGGTCCTGTTAATTCCAATAGGGAATGCACTTATCTTTATGCGTGTTTTCCTTTTTATTTTTCTGGGATAAAAGGATGAGTCGATGTAACAACAGTAGCGCTGAGTATCAATTGATTGTGAGAACAATCAAACTTCCAATTGTGTGAATATGAAGAGCAGGAGAAGATGCTTTCTTACATAAAGAATAATGTGTTTTTATTACCTTCTAAACTTCATAAGATGTAAGCTTGAAAAAATATTTAAAAATGTTAAACTGATTACAGTAGGTAGGGCTGTATCTTACTTGTTGTTAATCAACACTCTGATTTACTAGCAAACCTCATGTGCTTTGGTGGCTTTTACCCATCTTAAGTTTTAAGTTTCTGAGTGTTAAAGGGCCTGCCATGCTAATTTTTCTACACGTTCCATCCTCAAATAAGTTGCACTCTGCAAACAATTATCCTTTATTGTTATTCCTGTTTCTTTGTGAGATTTTAAGTGTTCATGACAGAACCTATTATTGTAGTTATTTAAGATTTTAATGTTTTAAAATGTTCATAACCTATCTTTTTCAGGATATACAAAGGAAAGGAGCAGCATTGTGGTCATAGGACTTAGTGTTCACACGGCACCAGTAGAGATGCGTGAAAAACTAGCCATTCCAGAAGCCGAATGGCCCCGAGCCATTGGAGAGCTCTGTGGTTTGAACCATATAGAAGAAGCTGCTGTTCTTAGTACCTGTAACAGGATGGAAATATATGCAGTGGCTCTATCTCAACATCGTGGGATCAGAGAGGTGATTGATTGGATGGCTAAGGTACTCTTTTAATTACATTATCTATATATCTCTGTTTGGTTTCCACTGAAATCCTTTCCTCAGAAGAGGAAACATCAACTATTTTGTCCAATGCAAGAAATCTGGCTTGAGTGTTTTGAAGGACATCTTGGTGCATATCTAGGCTTCTTGAATAAGCTATTTCTCAGTCCCAGCTAGGAGATGTCATATGATTGATAATAACCATCTGCAATGTCTTATAGATGGTTACTGTCATCCAATTGGGCTCTTCCTTGGCTTAGATCTCCTAGTTGGTGAATTTTGACCTATGGCTTTGAGAATTCCTATCATGTTTGATGTAACTCAAAAATTTCCCTCATAAAGGTAAAAGAAAGTGGTTGTAGTTGTTAAGCATCTTTTTTCTCTTGGCAGACAAGTGGAATTCCTGTTTCAGAGCTTCGTGAACACCTGTTCTTACTGCATGACAATGATGCGACTCAGCACCTGTTTGAAGTAGCTTCTGGGCTTGACTCTCTTGTTCTAGGAGAAGGACAAATCCTTGCTCAGGTAAGACAAGTTGTAAAAGTTGGCCAAGGTGTTGTTGGTTTTGGGAGGAACATCAGCTATCTGTTCAAGCAGGCAATCACTGTTGGTAGACGGGTTCGAACTGAGACTAACATAGCATCTGGAGCAGTTTCTGTCAGTTCTGCTGCTGTGGAGCTTGCCCTCATGAAGCTTCCTGATTCCTTGTCTTCAACTGCCCGGATGCTGGTGATTGGTGCAGGCAAGATGGGAAAACTTGTAATAAAACACTTAGTTGCAAAAGGATGCATGAAGATGGTGGTTGTCAATAGATCTGAGGAGAAAGTTGCTGCCATCCGAGAGGAACTAAAGGATGTTGAGATAATATACAAACCCCTCACTGAAATGCTCAGTTGCACTACCGAAGCAGATGTGATTTTTACCAGTACGGCATCAGAGACTCCATTGTATTTGAAACAGCATGTTGAGGCACTCCCCCCTGGCAGTCCAGAAATTGGGGGGTTGAGGCTCTTCATTGATATTTCTGTTCCCAGAAATGTTGGTTCCTGTGTCTCAGATCTCAAGACTGCAAGAGTCTACAATGTTGATGATTTAAAAGAAGTTGTAGCAGCCAATAAGGAGGATCGACTCCGGAAAGCAATGGAAGCTCAGGCAATTATTGATCAGGAATCAATACAATTTCAGGCTTGGAGAGACTCCTTAGAAACTGTTCCAACCATTAAGAAACTGAGGAGTTATGCTGAAAGAATTAGAATATCAGAGTTAGAGAAGTGCTTGTCAAAGCTGGGCAATGATATCCCAAAGAAAACTAGGAAATCTGTGGATGACCTTAGCCGAGGTATAGTGAATAAGCTCCTTCATGGTCCAATGCAGCATCTGAGATGTGACAACAGTGACAGCCGGACTCTAAGTGAGATCCTTGAGAATATGCACGCACTTAACAGGATGTTCAACCTTGATACAGAGCTATCCATATTAGAACAGAAAATTCGAGCTAAGGTGGAACAAACACAAAAATAAGCGTTCATAAAAGATACAGAAAATTCAAATAAGAAGATAACATTCTCACCCTGTTATCACTGTCATTGCTGTTGTACTCTTCATTCGGAAAAGATACAATTTTGGGTCCCAATGGGGCCATTTTAGGTGGAGGTAATAGGAGCTGCTCTCCTATTTCACGTGTGAGATGCATTTTTTGTCTATATTGTATTGTGTAAATGGGGGCCCAGCTTAGTAGGCACGAAGAGAATTGTTTTCGGTGATCTAAAATCTTTTTATTGAAGGACATGTTTCTTGAATTTCTGACACTAGACGGCCAATGTATGGAGAACCATTAATTCTTGTAATAATCCATTGATCATTTCAGTTTTGGGATGTTTCCCATTTTATATACTTCTCTAGGATTTTTGTTTCTTTTCCAAATGTTGTTTTTTTACTAATTGTAAAGAGACTGGGCCGAATGTGTCATAGTATCTTCTCTTGTAATATCTTTTCTTTTCTTGTTGGCTAATGGGCTTGTTATTTTTTTTGTTTAATCTCTTTATGTTACTGCCTAGCTGGCCGTCCACTTAAGGGCATACTTGTCATTACTCTAACATTAATTCTTAATAAAAAAGGATTAGAGGAGAAAGGGAAGATTATTCAAACCTTTCTTCTTTTTCCTTTTCTTTTCGCCATCTTCTTCTCTTGTACTGCTGCTCTTACTTCTCTTCATTTTTTTCTCTCTAATCTTCAAATTTACACCTAATATTTGAGGACTGATTTACATCTTGGTATCAGAGCAGGTTTATTTCTTCATTTTTTTCTTCTTCCTCTTTTCCCATACACCCTTAGATTAAGAGAGTGTATGGAGAGATAGGTTATTTATAGTTCAGAGGATCTCTGACCTAGTTGGTAGAGGGTTTGGAGAGTTTAAATCTGGCTGGATATTGCCAAGAAGTGGTGTTGTTCTGTTGTTGCCCAAAACCCTAGCCAATTAGAGATTTTCATAGGTATAGGTAAAGGTGAAGCTTTGGGTGTGGCGTTCTGTGCTTGGGAGGTGTCTTTTGACTCCTAAAGGAGGGCGGTTCAGGTTTGGAAGAGATTGGGAAGCTCTGGTAGGAGTGGCTACATCTTCTCTCTTCCTCCCCAATAGTTGGACGGAGTAAAACCCTTGTTTTCAAGCATTTGGGTTCTGGTTTGACTTTAAGTAAGTTTATATAGACAAAATTTTTAGTTCTTTGATTTCGTTTGATTAATGGAGCCATACGGAAGTGAGTTCAAGCAAGTGCCGGTTTCCGGCCTTGGCTCGGTAGATTCCATTTTGACTGGTGTGACCACAATCAAGCTAGATGGGACAAATTATCTTGCTTGGGCATAGTCCATAAGAATTTATGTCTGTAGTAGAGGAAAACTCGGGTATCTCATAGGTAGTAAAGTGAAACCCGAAGAGACAAACCCTAAATTTGAGAGATGGATGCAAGAGAACTATACTATCATAGGATGGTTGGTCAATTCTATGCAACCTCATATAAGTCGGCATTATCTCTGGATGTCTTCAGCTAAGGAGATATGGGACAGTGTTATTGAAACCTATTCACAGAAGTTGAATGTAACCAGAGTCTATAAGTTGAAAAGTGACGTGAAGAACCTAAGACAGGGGGAGAAGAGTGTAGTAATCTACTACTCTATACTGAAATCCCTATGGCAAGAAATTGATGTTATGGAGACAGTTGTATGGGAGAATAAGAATGATGCTGAAATGTATAGGAAGTTGGTGGAGAGAAATATGGTGTTTGAATTTCTCACTAGACTCAACCCTGAGTTTGACATCATTAGGCAAAATATCCTGGCCAAAGATAAGGTTACTCTTTCCCAAGCATACGCTATGATAAGCAGTGAGGAGAGTAGGCGATAGGTTCAGTTGCAGAGTCCACCTACAGAACACTTTGCACATGCTAGAATAAAGCCAAAGTGTCCTACTAAGAAAAAGGAGCAGATATGTGAATATTGCAAGAAATCAAGGCATACAAAGGACACTTGCTGGAAGCTTCATCCTGAGCTTCTTCCTGATAGGTTTAAGAATAACAATAGCTCTAAGAAGGGCAGTTAGGTAGGAAAGCCTAAGATAGCTAATGTTGCTACAGTACCTGAAGGAGGAAATAAGGAGAGTGAAGGAAAATCAACCATTGAGCAGTTGGCAGCAATGAAGGCGGATTTTGAAAAGTATGGGAGGCTTCTAAATCACTTGGAAGTTTCTATTTCTTCATCTCACTCTTCCAACAACACATCATCTTCATTTGCATTTTCTCATTCAGGTATTCATGCTTTTATAAATCATGCTTCAGTTTCAGGTAATCATAATATCCCTTGGATTATTGATTCCGGTGCATCAGACCATATGACCAGCCTGTCTAATATCTTCTGCTCATTTTGAAAATCAACCATTGAGTAGTTGGCAGTAATGAAGGCGGATTTTGAAAAGTATGGGAGGCTACTAAATCATTTGGAAGCGACAGTTTCTTCATTTCACTCTTCCAACAACACATCATCTTCATCTGCATTTGCTCACTCAAGTATCCGTGCTTCTACAAATCATACTTCAGTTTCAGGTAATCATAAAATCCCTTGGATTATTGATTCTAGTGCATCAGACCATATGACCAGCCTGTCTAATCTCTTCTGCTCATACCACCTTCTCTCTAGCAAAGAGAAAATATCCCTTGCTGATGGGTCTCTTGCTCCCATCTTTGGTAAAGGGGATATAAAGACCTCTGACACCCTTTATTTATCCTCTGTCCTTCATGTCCCTAAACTTAACACAAACCTTTTATCTGTTAGCAGCTTAACTAAATCCATGAGTTGTAGCATAACATTTTTTCCCAATCATTGTGTTTTTTAGGACCTGCAATCTTAGAGGATGGTTGGGAGTGGCCATGAGGCAAATGAAATATACTTGCTGAACACACCGGATAGAGCTTTTGGACCACCTCATGGAGTTGCCTTAGAGTCAGTTTTGTCAGAGTCTGTTAACAAAGTCTTGTTATGTCATTTTCAGTTTGATCATTTGTCATTTTCTGCTTTGAGTCATTTGTCTTCAGATATGTTTAAGGGAGTGTCTTTATCGAGTCTTCATTGTGAGTCGTGTGAACTGGCAAAACATTGGAGACATTCTTATTAAGTAAGCAATAAAAGATCTATTTCTCCTTTTCATATTGTTCACTCTGACGTGTGGGAGCCATATCATTTGCGAATTATGGGGGGTTATAGGTACTTTATCGTTTTTATTGATGACTACTCTCGTTATACTTGGATTTATCTCATGAAATCCATGGATGAAGTACTAGCTATTGTGCACAAATTTCATGAACTCATCCTCACCCAGTTTAACACTCGGATTAGAATATTCTGTTCTGATAATGCTAAGGAGTATTTTGAGAAAACCCTCTCCGCTTATCTTGAAACTTTTGGGGTTATTCATCAACGTTTTTGTTCCTACACTCCACAACAGAACATAGTGGCGGAAATGAAGAACAGACATGTGGTTGAAGTTGCCAGATCCCTCCTGTTTGCATCCCATGTTCTTATAAAATTTTGGGGAGATGCTGTTCTTACTGCTGCTTTTTTTATCAAACGTATGCCCTCCCGGGTCCTTAACTTCAAAACCCCCTTTAGCCTTCTCTTCCCGGATGAGGATATTTTTTCTCTTCCTCTCTGTGTTTTTGGGTGCACTTGCTATGTGCATGTTCACAGTCATCAAAGGCACAAGTTTGAACCTAAGGCTCGTAAATGTGTTTTTCTGGGATATGCTTCTACATAGAAGGGATATTGCTGTTTTGATCCAGTTAGTGGCACCCGCTTTGTATCTTGGGATGTTACATTTGCTGAGTTGACTCATTTCTTTAGCATTTCTCCTGAGGGGGAGAAATCTGAAGAGTCCTTTACTATGTCTCCAGTTGTTCCTCTTCCCATTCCTCTTGAGTCCTATCATGAGGTGTCTACTTCTCCCACTGGAAATACCTTCGATATTCCTATTCCTCCTCCTCCTCCACCTCATTCTCTTATAATTCCTTCTCATCCTGTTATCGAAAGGTGGTACCAAAGGCACAAATTCAGACATGGGCAGGTTGTTTCCACTCCTACAAAAGAGCCTCTTGCTCCTTCCATCATTACTGTGTCTACGATCCTTTTTAAAAGAATTGGGGGTTGATTACGAGAAACCAATGATACTTTACTATGACAACTAAGTAGCTATCAACATTGCACATAATCCTGTTCAACATGACTGAACTAAGCACATTGAGGTTGATAGCCATTTTATAAGGGAAAGAGTTTCCTCAAGAGAAGTTTGTTTGCCATTCATCACATCAGGTGAACAATTGGTTGATATCTTGACCAAGAGAGTTCCAAGAGGGAAAATAACACACCATATAAGCAAGCTGGGCATGATTTGACATCTATGCTCAGCTTGAGGGGGAGTTGTAAAGAGAGTGGGCCGAATGGGTCCTAGTATATTCTCTTGTAATATATTTTCTTTTCTTGTTGGCTAATGGGCCTGCTATTTTTTTTTTGTTTAATCTCTTTATGTTACTGTCTAGCTGGCCGCCCACTTAAGGGCATACTTATCATTAATCTAACATTAATTCTTAAAGGACTAGATGAGAAAGGGAAGATTATTCGAACTTTTCTTCTTCTTCCTTCTCTTTTCGCCATCTTCTTCTCTTGTACTGTTGCTCTTACTTCTCTTCTTCCTTTTTTTCTCTCTAATCTTCAAATTTACACCTAATATTTGAGGACTGATTTACCTCTCTTATGATAGGTTTGTCAGATTGTTTCTCCTCTGCCCTATTAACGAACTTTATTTTGTTTTTCTGTTAACACAAAACAAATTTTTTTTAATGGATAAGAACAATATGATTGTTACATAGAAGGTTTATCAGATATTACGATTAGTATTCTGTCAGGAGTATCCCCAGACAACTTCTATCTAAGCAGACTTACGATCAGTAGTTGTTTGATTAGCAGTTCTATGAACAAATACAAAAGGAAACATTGTCCAAATTATAGCAGGTAGTTCTAATTCTATCCTC